AAGAATTATTATGTTTTTGTTACCTTAGAATGAACCTTTTATATCTACTATATATACTATATATATATATATATATATATACATATATACATATATAATTTTGTACAGTAGTCCAGAAGGGACAAATCAAAAACTGGCAACAACATAACACCTTGGGTGCTAATCAGAACAAAACAGTGTAAATTAGTGCTGGTTTTCATTATTTACACTCTTAAGTGGCTTTTGTTGGTCTAGTAATTAAATAATATATTGTGATGTATTTCTATGATATATATGATGAGACAGCCTTCTTACCTGTTCTGACTTGGGAAAATCTAGCCTGTGACTTTGTGCACAGTTAGACTTTGTACAGCTAAAGCTGTGTATTAACCTTACCTTGATCTCTACTTGGTGGCGACCCTCATCCTCTTCTATTTCCTTATCCAAGTTTTTCCTTTCAGCCTTGACCTCCTCTAATTGTCTGTCCGTGATCTCCCAAAAGGTGTGGATCTTGTCCCTCTCCAGCTGGAAGTAGTTTCTCTCCTCCCTCTCTCTATCCAGCTCCTCTCGAAGGTGCACAATGTGCTCTTCCAGCTAAAATGAAAAATACTATACTGTGAGCATATATGAGCCAGCCATGGGCTCAGAGACTAAAAGCACAAAGCCTGCATTTAATACTGGAGGGAGGAAGACTGGCAGGCGTTTAGCAGGCAGGGATGCTTTATATGAAAAGTGGTAGTGGTACTGGTAGTATGTAGTATTTTGAGAACTCATTCTAGGAACTGAAGGTCAGGATATCTGCAGGATATCTGCTGCATTGATTTGCTAAAAACACCCCTTTAAAGTACAGATCACTTCGAGCGGGAAACTTTTATTTCCTCCTGCCATAAAACATCCAAGCATCACTCCATACTTTCAAACATCACACTTCAGATCTGACCTGCTCCTTGGACATCTCCTCCTTGGTGAGGCCATCTATCAGTGTGGGCGTCTTTGCCTTGGCAGACTTTTTACTTGAGCCTTTGCTTTTGGGTGGCTGGACACAAGTCAACACAACAGAAAATGGTTAAAGTATCGAGTATCTAGCCCCAGTCTGTGCCTGAATGTAGTTAATAAGTTACATGAGACGCACAAACTGCGAGTCAAATATGACATTCACACACCAACCAAGCGTCAGCTGCGAGTTAGTTCGCTAACGCTAGCTATGAAACCTCACTATGGTTGTGATTCATTCATTTAAAGGACGCTTTGCTCACCATCGTATATGCTGCGTCAGTAACACAGAGAGACAGGCAATGTGTCGATGGTTTTGAGTAGCTAGCACACAGCTAAACTCAGAAACGTCCACTTCTCTCTCTGCTGTCGGTCTCAAACATACGTTACCATAGCAACGCTGTTACTATGTGACGAGCCGTCTCCAGGAGGGGGCGAGCTGTCCCTGCACTGAAACGACACAATCAATACTTTCACTCAGGTAAAGTACTCAAGTATCATTTTTAACGGTGTACTATTTTTCATACTATGTTATTCTTCCCCTCCACGTCATGAGGGAAATACTGTATTTTCTTTCCAGATCAAGGTTTTATAGACAAAACTGCAACTTCATATTTAGCATTTCTTCAGTTTTTTTTTTTTAAGTAGTATCATGTTTGTGTGTATTTTTGTTTGTCAACAACTATTGCTTCCCTGTGCACCCATAAGTGGGAGCTGCCGATAACAATGAAAGTTATTACAGATAAAATAATGCAAAAGTAAAAAGGCTCCCTTTCTTCCATCCTGGGAGGTTGTGAAACATGTTCCCACTTCTACATGGGAGTTTTCCTGATCTCATCATTCTGAGTTTCATTAAAACTAATAAACATGGTAAACATTGCACGTGCTTGACATCAGCATGTTAGCATGCATCACAGAGCTGTTATGCAATTAAGTTTAAGTTTCATATGCATCTATTTGCTTTATACATCACCACTGAGAAAGCATCACTACAACGCAGTAGAAAGATTCATGAGACCAGAATTTAAACTCTTGTCCTGCAAACTTTATTATTGTTGTTTTAACTGTGACGTAGGTTGTGGTGTTGATTGTATTATACTACAAGATGTTGGAAATATTTCAGCTACTCAGTATATGAACGAGGTGGACACGATAATCAAAATCATTTGTTTATTATTTGTTATAATAACTATTTAAAAGCAGACAACTATGTACATTTCTGATGTAAAAATATTGACTTTTGAAGTCTTAACACAGGAGTTCATGGTCAAACATTGAGCACAGGGATGTCAAAGAGGTCACAGAGGCCTTCATTCTCCTCCAGATTGTAGGCATATTCCTGTTCAGATGGGGGCGGAGACAGGCGCAGGATTGGGGAAAAAACTGAGGGGCAGAGTGAACACGTGGTTAACAACAAGTAACAGTATATAACAGACATGAATAAAATATACACCAATCAGCCATAACATTATGACCACCTGCCTAATATTGTGTAGGTCCCCCTTTTGCCGCCAAAACAACCACCAGACCTCTGAAGGTGTGCTGTGGTATCTGGCACCAACA